CTTTCTGGCCGTCAATCACAATGTTAATTATTCCTCCTCCTTTCCTAGACATCTTCATCACCTTTGTCTTCTTCCCATTGATCTTCATATCAAACTTCTTGGCCACCGCGTTTAACCCATCCATCAATTTCTGAAGACCTTGTTCTGTGCTCGCCACCATGCCTTGGTCATCTGCAAACCGTATATCCTTTAACAACTTCCCCCCGACTTTTACACCTTCCTCAGTGCCTTCCATAACCTATTCATCATCTTCTCCGCATGAATCGAAAACAAAATTGGAGATGAAGGGCATCCTTGTCTAACTCCTCTGCCAAGCCCGCATTGTTCCGATTCGCCGTCTGCTATTCTAACTACTGCCTCCTGGTCTAAGTACAGCTTGATGATTAGTCTCCTGTCCCTGCAATCTACTCCGATTTCCTTCAGTATCTTCATCATCTTCACCCAGTTTACTCTGTCAAAAGCCTTCTCAAAATCTACAAAGCATACATACATTTCCTTCCCATGTTCAAGGTTCCTCTCGCAGAGCATCCCCATCACTCCAATTGCTTCCCTAGTCCCACATCCTTTTCTGAATCCAAACTGGGTCATTCCCATGAAGTCTGTTGCCTTCGCCTCTACCCTTCTTGTCACCACTCTCAACATGATCTTAGGTGCATGCGTTACCAAACTGATTGTCCTGTTATCTTCACATTCCATTGCATTTCGATACTTTTGTAGCGGTATTATCACCGTCTTTGTAAAATCCTCTGGCCATTCTCCTTGCTGGTATATGCTTGAGCATATATCTATCAAATCCTTTGTTGCTTTTTCTCCGAGGTTCTTCCAAAATTCAGCTGGTATTCCATTTACACCTTCTGCTTTTTTGTTCTTCATTTCCTTGATTGCCGCTTTGATCTCGCTTTCCAACAAATCTGGTCCTTTCTTGTCTATCTCAACCTCTTCTTCGGCCTCTTATCCAAAGTCCTCCATCCTTGGCTTTCCGTTCTTGTCATACAGCAACTCTATGTACTCCTTCCACCTGTTCCTTGTCTTGTCTGGCTCTGTCAACAACTCTCCATTGCTATCCTTGATCACACTACTCTTGATGCTTGCATTCCTCTGTCGAGTGATCTGTTTCACCATGTTATGCATAAGATCTGACCGAGCCCTTCTGTCCATCTCCTCCAGTTCTGCGCATTCTTCACTCCACCACTTCTCTCTAGCTGTATCCGTTTCCCTTCTAAGCTCATTATTTAGTTGCTTGTATCTCTTCCTTCCTTCTTCTGTGTTTACATTCTTCCATTTCCTTCGTTCATCCATTTTTTTGTTGTAAAATTCCATCTGAAACCCATGGTTTCTTTGCTACTCTTTGTTTCCTGTACCCAATGTTGTATTCTGCACTCTTTCAGATCTCTCCACTTTTCTTCCACTGTGCTTCGTTTTTCATTCAAAAGCCTGGCCTTTTCCTCAACCTCCTGAAAATCCTCCGTTCTTTCTGGCAAGCGCTCTATATCCGCTTCCTCCTTATCTTGCTCCTCTTCACTTTCTTCAACTTCACTAGCATTGACATTGCTGCCAGGTTGTGGGCGGAATCCCCATCTGTTCCAGGATAGCTGTACGCGTTTTTCACCCCATTTCGGTATCGCTGCCGTACTAGCAAATAGTCCAGTTGATACCTTCCTGCGTCTCCTGGCTTTTTCCCGGTATATATTCTTCTCTTTTCTTGCTTGAACCATGTGTTAGCAACCATCATCCTTCTTCGCCTACAGAACTCTACAAGCTTCTCTCCTTGTTCATTTCTCTGCCCTAATCCAAACTTCCCAATCTCCTTTCCATCTCTGCCTTCTCCTACTACCGCATTCCAGTCTCCCATCACAACAAGATTGTCATTTCCTTTTTCTGCTTCAATAAATTCCTCCAGTTGCTCGTACACATCATCCAAGTCCATCTCTTGTTCTGAAGTTGGCATGTAGACTTTTACAATCACGAGATCCACAGGTTCCGCCTGCACTTTCACCAGGATCAGTCTATCACTATGCTGTACTACCTTTGTCACTCTCTTTGCTGTTTCCTTCTCAAACATCACTGCCACTCCTCTTTGGCCCTCTTTTCCTCCTGCATAGATCACCCTTATTCCATCACTGACGAAATCTCTTCCATCCTTCCACTGCATTTCATTTAGTCCTGGGATGTTTAATCTGTTTTTCTCCATCTCTCGTTTGATGTTTTCTAACTTTCCTCTCTTCAGCATTGTCCTCACGTTCCATGTTCCAATCTTTATCTTGGTGCAAGGTTTTCGCTTGATGACGACCTTGGAAGCCTTGCACCCTCCACTGCCGAACGCGACATCTCCAGCATGGCCGGAGATCCCGTTTACGTCGTTTGTGTTTACTCTTCTTCTGTTCATTGTTTGCCATTTTTTGCTTGGGAGAAGTAGCCGAGGTGGTTTCCCGTTGCCTTCCTCGGCGGTGTATTTTAAGGGGCACCACTCCTTTCCCGAGAGTTCCTCCACCTGAGCAGACTCAACTGTTGACTCTCGAGGTCGCTGCTATCGCCTTTGGAACCGAGAGAGACATCTTGTCATTTGCTTCCTCAGCCGGTATCTGCTTCCCTTTTCCCGGGTCAGGAGGCATCAGAGTATACCCCGCCGGATGCCAAACCGGTATTTCAAGATCCCGGGGGTTTATACTATATGAGAGGGTTGAAATATACGAACAGGAATGGGATTTGACTCCTATCGCTAATTCTTGGTGAAGGGAAGGGGGGGGGGCGAAAGTCGCAAAAGGACCAATTAAAATTGCATACTACGTTGTTATTCTCCCTAACGGCAAGCAAATTCGCAATAGTCTTGTCTTCGGCGCTGGACGATGTAATACCGAGTGTCCCAAAAAAAAACCGTTCCGAACTTTACACGCCTGCAGACGGAATACCATATGAGTTATCGACAGGAAATTTGCAGGCTTTTGCGAGCAATGTTTGCAAGTAAGGTAAACAAAATTTCCGTGAAATTGGTTGTAAACTACGTGAGAAAAAATTTTCTCCCGCGCGATGTCAAGAGAGCAAGTGTAAAAAGGAACGCGCCTGAACTCAATAAAATAACTGCTTGATGGGTCCTCCATGGATGTGTCCTCCTTGGATCACGGGCCGAAGCAAACGCACTGACATATCTTCATTCAGCGACTTGTATGGAAAGAGCTCTTACTCATGTTCAGAACAAAGAATTTCATTGACATTTTCCTATACCCATCTATCTATATTGGGTATGATTCACTGAAAATTTCAAGACGATGCTTAGCATGGTGTCCCGTCTGCAGCCGCACGAAGTTTGGAACTTTTTTTGGGGTCTACCCGGTATAATGATTAGCTCACCATAAACCGACGCTTTCGCCGCTAGCATCTTCCAAAGTGGGGAAAATCCATGCATTTTAGGCTTTTTTCGTCGTGGCATCAAGATGCCTCGGATTATATGATGTCCTTACCATATATTGATATGTTACAATACACGTTTGTCAATAAAATAAAGGAAACGGCACGTGGGAGAATATTTATCACCTGAAAAATGTGAATGGTCGAATTTTAAGTAACACCAATGGAAAGTTTAAACTCGATGGTTCTGCTGTTGGGATGCTAATGGAGACGAAGTGGAATTTTTTAAATTTAAATCAAGGCATGGTTTCGCTTGCACTTTACATGGTGGGCAAAGTATAAACCCCATACTTTGTCTATCGGAATGCACCTTACTGTTTGGAGCGAGCTACGTATTTCGTTTCATGTTATACTATATCTGTGCAATTATTTTTCAATTGTTGTTAATTGGTTGAATATATTAGATACGCTGTAATGGTGTGGTTAATTTAATATCCGAAATCAGCATGGAATACATTAAAATAGAGAACTTGGAGTCTCGTGAAACTAATCCTACATTTTTCACCTTCCCTTGGTAAGCCTCATGCTTAATTCAGCCGGTTTGAATAATCACAGTCTGCAATCCTTTGTCTTGTTTTCCATGGCTGCCTTTAGCTAGCACGACGAAAATGAACTCTATTCATTCTCCTACTTCCCTTCATCTTCCATAGGTCTTGCTCCAATCCCAATGCAAATTCTTCCTGCTCCTGCTTCTTCGATGACTCCTCCGGTGAGGTTACTGTGGACTGTTCACGAGCAAGTAGTGGCGAAGAGATCTTCTCGGCTTTCAATAATTACATCTGGCTCTCCACTCTGCTCGTGTGAGTGATGACATTCAGTATCTCTACAATCTCTGCAGTGGTCGTTATACATTGAGATTGCATGATTGTTATTTTCATGGTACATTGATGAGTCATTTGGATCTGGAGTTACGGTGAGCTCTTAGGCGCGGGGGTATGCACACGTCCTAAGTAACGTGACTCATTGCCAAATCCTCTTAGAACATGGACGATATTCGTCCTGTCAGATATTCCACCTTGTCTCCTTCGTGGTATTAATAAACAAGTGGCACAATATGATGAATATTTAACAAGATTACAAGGTTGGTACACCCGTGAATGCGACAAAGGTAATCTTTATTGCAAATAATTTGTTGCTTTCTGATTTTGTCTGCATATCTGTTGTATTGCTTGGAGCTCGAGTCATACTGTTCTGATTCTGAAGCTAAGGCAAAGTGAAATGGTGGAAGGTGACGTGGTCAACTCCCTTTACAGAACGTCCTCCTGCATCAACCAGGCCGGAACGGCAGTTGAGTAGGAAGTGGATTTGGAACCAGGTGGATCCCCCTCCAGCATGCTGGTTTTCTCCAAAAGGGAGATCCACCGTGTTCAAAATCCACCTGGGGAGGACGTTTTGAGAGGACGTCTGCAGTTATGGTAGACTGCTTCCTCCCTCTACTTTCTGTGACTGAAAATTTCCCCCTTATTCTCTCCAGGAACTACGGTGGACAAAGGAGGTTCTTGATGACAGGGAACTGGGCAGTGGAGGAGCTCGCAGCAGGGGTTTTCGGGAACGTCACCTTCGACCACATATTCATTTGGGGCACCAACTTGGTCACCGTTGATTCTTCGGCGGTGCTTTCGTCCAAGGATCGACTCGAACAGCTTACGATTGCCAACAGCCTCCTTGGAGATTTCCCGTTTCAGATCCTTCCTCAGATGACCCAGTTAAGAGGACTCCAACTCGATTCGAATTTGTTGAAGTCAGTGCCAGCCCTCAAAAGCCAAAGTCTCCAGAATCTGAGTCTTTCTCTCAATCAAATAGAGACACTCGAATCCGGCTGGTCCGTGCCCAACTTGGAGATACTGAACATCAGTGAGTATAATCATCCATGCAATGCGAATACGAGTCTTTGGCTCACCATTTAAAATAAATTTGTTCATGCTCTTCCTCTCTCTAGAATCCCCATTCTTAAGCCGCATGTACTAATTAAGGACTTTTCTGACTTTTCGTTCAAAACCATTCGTTTTCCTCCTCATCTCTTAATTTGTGTATGCACGTTCAATATATCTGGAACCAAATGCTGTCGTGTTCATATTGGTATACTACCATCTAATTCAACGAATCGAGCCTCCCCATAGGTTTTTTAGAGCGAGGAAGAAAAAAGGTCGTGCAGAAATAACATTGTATGCATATCTGTCGCCATGTACTCATATGAAATTCATTCCTTGTTTGTTACAGGTTACAATCCGATATCGCAGTTTCCATCCCGACTGGTCGATGGCATGGTGAAGTTGAATTTTTTTTCTGCGTCTGGCTGCAATGTGGGGCCGACTTTGTCAAGTGGATCCCTGTCGTTCCATAGTAACGCCTTGCAATTGGTATCCCTCGGAGGCAATAATATCGCGAGACTGGAAGCTGGAGCTATCACAGGTGAGATCACCGGTTGTCCATGCTCAGCTGATTTTAAGAGTTAGAGCTTTGAAGTTGGCTCCAATATGGTGGTGGGAAAAGAACAGAAGCTTCTTTCAAAATTATCTTTATTATAGGTTAATGGATGAGAACATTTTTAAGTAAACGGAAAAATATTTATTAGTTTAGCGATCCATCAAATGCAAAGCGCTGTTGATGTACCACTCACAGTCACGCGACTAACTCGCTGATATCGCATCACTTGCCTTGTGGGCTCCGACGCGCGATTTGAGAAGCTGCTTTGGCTTAAGGCAAATATATATGTTGTACAGAAATGTTTATGTCATCGAAAGCGTTGTACTTTACAGGTCTCGGGGTCAATACGACTTTTCTTCTGCACGAGAACAATATCAAGGTGCTGACTGAAGACTCATTTGAGCCCATTTTCGAGACCCTCTCTCTCGGCAATGGAAAAATCCTCTTACTGGGTGAGTTTTACGACCTTTCATCGCAGTCTTGGTCCACTTTTCATTATCTCCACCCGCTTCTCCCTCAGGAAACCCCATCCAGTGCAACACTGGCATGTCCTGGCTCTTGCTCCACCCAAACGCCGCGATGATCCTCAAGAATGTGACGCACAGCCTGGAATGCGCGAAAGGGACTTCGCTCTTGGACCTCCTCCTCCTTCGTTTTCTGAATAATGTCCTTCCGTTCCAGTGGGTGAATTCCGTGGCTTGAGGGCTTCTTTCCGTTCTTCTCGCTTCGTGGGTGTGAAGAGTGAACCGCCAAATCTCTGTCAACCTCCACCGTTTTCGCATCATAGCACTTTTTATAAAGCAAAGGAAATGAATATGAAGATGGCTATCACAAAGGGAGCGTTGAGTGCTGCGTCGCTGTTGGGCTATGTTTGTCTTTAATTTTTATTGGGTACAAATAATGCCATTAAATCATGGTTGTATTCCCTTCCCTGGAAGCTCATGTGAAAGGCTAATGGCATGTGGTGGTAAAATAGAATAAACTCCTTCGCTTCATTGCATCACAACATATGACTATCAATAACTCCGCACAAATTTGCACAGCGCAAATAGCAGGACCAAGTATGGGCATTCATTTAAGTGTGGGAACCGTACCCATATTCCACATATTTAGGTTTTAAGGGTGGACACTTCATGCTTCGGAAGGAGGAATCATGCCCCTATAAACTTTCCCCACATCGCCCAGATTCTCACACATCAAATTGTCCGCGAATGTGGAGGGATAAAATGAAGATTTCTCGCCTTTTTTGGCTTTAACCTACTGAAACCGATTTTTAAAATGTCCATGGGATTTTAGCACGTAACTCTTATGACGTAAACTCTCCATAACTCGCACTCCCATAAATAATCGTAGTCAACAAAATGTTAAATACATGTTTTGAGGCGCGATCAAAAGATTTCGAGTTGGAAGTGTTTATAGATGCGGCAAGTACTGACATGTATTGACTAGCGCTGAAAAAAATGGTTTATCATGGTTAAAGCTGCTCGACCCGGTAGGCGAGTGGACAGTTGAAGGGTTAAAGCGGTTAAAGGGTTAAAGGGTTAAACTCATTACTTCTCGAGGGTCGAAATCTTTAGCGGTGAAGTTCACCTAGCCATGGCATGGGACGCGCATTTTTTCTATGAAAAGGTCGAGGTGTCCAGCGTCCTAAAGGTCATGATGCTGGCACAGTTCGTTCAAGTGTCAGCTTGTTTTGCGCTCTCCAAGTCCCACATTAAAAAGTAGGACATTGCTTCCTTTGCTTTTACAAGGCCTTCCGTGCAAGACTGAGCAAGAACGGCGGATGGGATCCGAGCAGCAAAAGAAAGAAGTCTGGTTGAGATTGGTTTTTCGAACCTATTAAGATATTTTAGTTTTTATATATAACATTCTTTACTCTTAAGATTTCATCGTTCCAATTTGAATCTCAAATTTCCCGGAGTCAGAATTTTTTCAGGGGGAGTTAATCTCCGTTTGCTCCTTTCTTCCGGGATTTCGAAGCGAGAGAGCAGCCATGTATTACGTGCAATTAATTTAAATACCGTTTTCTAGAGCGCTGACGCAAGAAAGGACGTAAGCTGCCCCGGAAAATATACAAATCAATCAACAAAAAATACAGAAGAGCGAGCGCAGACATTTCTTAGGTACTGACAATATTAGGAATCTTGCGGGACCATATCCTGAAAGACAGAAAAGTTGCGTTCTGACGAATCAAATGCAAAGACACAAAGGATTTGAGACCTCCGATCCCATTTCTTCTCCATTCACTCGTGAAACCGATCATCTTCATTGACGTGGAAGTCAGACATGCTTTGGTGCCTCCTCGGACCCAGTTGAAAGAAAAACTGAAAGCATGTCAACGGTTGAATGACCGGTTGAGCGGTTGAATGACCGCTCGACCTCGCTCGACTTTGAATGTGGACGTCGGCAAAAATGAGCATAATCTCAATCGGAAACCTGAACCTTGAAAATACGATCGGAACATTAAATGTCATGATCGCAATTAAATAATGACTTTAAGAGAGCCGACAGAATACTCTCCTTCTCTTTTTTGGATCGCATTGTGCGTCGGATTGCAACCATTGCCATTGCGGAAGAGCTTGGGAAATTCGCTCCTCCTGAAATGGCGAAAAGGGTTCCGTTCTCCAAACGAAAAGGAAAGGAGAACTTTCATAGCGACTTCGGGCAGGGAACGGTGGCGACATGTGGAGCAAATAGTCTCGTTGTCAATGGAAATTCCATGGAAATGCACACGAGTGCTCGCAGGACCGAGGAGTGGCGGTCACCGTAGTTACACATCGATTCATTACTATCGCGCCGCGATCGATGGCGTCAGACGTCGCGTGAGAAGAAAATGAGTCGACACAGTATTCGATGACTCAC